CGGGGGGGGGGGGGGGGGGGGCCAAAAAAAAAACCTGGGGGGGCACAGGGGGCAGCGGGTGGCCGGCTCTCCAACCAGTCCCCCCCCCCCCCCAACCCCCCAACCCCACCCGGACGGGATACCGCTGGCAACACCCGATGACCCCCCACCCCCGCCCCACCTATGGATCCCTCATGGTTCTCGTCCCGCTCATTACGTCGCAGACGCTCCGTCTCGCATTTATTTTCACTCGCAGTAACACCGGCGGCCGCCGCGACACGTTTTATTTTTCCTAGAACCCCGGGTAAGGCCCAGGTATGGCCTAGGGCATCAGAAGGGACCAAGAGGAGTCCAGTCTGAGCCATAGAGCCCATGTCTTTGCCCCCGAAGGTCGCGTTCAAATGCCCGGAACGGACGTTACAGTGGTGTCCGGCCGGCGCGATCACCGAGCTGTGACGCTCAGGGAAGCCGGTTGAGGTGCTGGTTTCTTTGGCCAGGGCTGGCCTACGACCTGTGCTGGATCAGCTGAGCAAGGTTTGGGGAGAATCCCCCGGACAGATCTTCAGATATTTTGACGGATGACCAAAAATGGGCAAAAACGGCTAACAGAAGCAGCGCTCTGCTGCTGGGGGGTGCTGGCATCTCTGTACAGACAGCAGCTGTAAGTAGCATGCGTTCGAGTTGCGAGAATTTATGGTCGGCATCAAAACGTCAGTGGTCTCACCGGCGGGGCCTCCTACTGCCAACCGGGCTGTGCGGGGCACGCCAGCCTCTCTTCTACGCCTCTCGTGCCTCGCGGCGCCTCTGCTTCAAGGAGGGAAGATATACGGCTCTCGCAGCCCATCATACGCCGTGACACAGCGGAGAGCACAGCGGGCTGTACAAGTCCATCAGATAGTGCTCAATATCTTCGCATGCTCGTCGTTGGTGATATCCGCGCGAGGTCACACGCCACAGGCCAGCAATCACTCGGTGATGAGACTACTGATGTAGGCGCGACGCTCTGACACCGAGTGTTGCTCGACGCTGCGACGCCGCTGGTCACAAGTCTTTAGTAAAACGCCAGCACTCGACAGCACGAAGGTGTATTGGGCTCGAAGGCGCGGTGAACACAACCGCCTCGAGCGTACCGCTCAAACACGAGCCGAGGGGGCGGGAGGGGGGGCGGCGGGAGGCGGGAGCTGGGTCCAGTGCGCTCTGCTGCTGGGGGGGTCGCGACCCCCCCCCCAGCAGCAGCGCTCTGCTGCTGGGGGGGTCGGGACCCCCCCCCCCCAGCAGCAGCGCTCTGCTCCTGGGGGGGTCAGACCCCCCCCTAGCGGCAGGGACGGGCTTGGAAGTGCAGGGGGGATACCGAGCAGTGTGCGGCCGCTCTTAATCGTCCAATTCCTTTGTGCAAGAGCGGAGAGGGCTTGGACCGAACGCGTGGCGGGAGGAGGGGGCAGGGAATGGGCCCGGAGGGAGGGAGGGGGGTATCAGCCGTGCAAAAAGCATTAATTAATAATATTAATAAAGAATTATTGCTCGCAGCTCGGCCCTTCACGGAGTCCGTCTCGATCTGGATGGAGGAACGGGTCAACCCCGTGAGGACCAGATCACGTTCACATTGTTTCAGCCGGAGAGGATGTTG